AAACAGGTACGGGTACAGGCAGGAATACAGGTAAAAACACTCTCTGACGCAAAGTAACATTGACAACGGTCGACAAGGACTGAATGGAACATAAGGAACTAAATACACAGATGAATCAAACATAATGATGTGAAGACAGGTGATACTGATGAACAAGACGAGGAACAGGTGGCTGATGAGGGAGTGAGTTCGGGAGTAGAGACAAGATAATCCTGGGAAGTGTAGTGCAGATGACGAAGACAGACTGGTGCAGACGAAGGACTGTGACAATTACAGCTGTGGAAATACTATATTTATAATAAACATCATTGAGGTTTTCCTTTGCTAAATGTTTATTACATATCTAGACAGAAATCCACATTATCATTTAAACTTCTCTCCAGTGTCGGCAGCAAGGGCATTTGTGGAGATTTTGCATTAGTCACCTGTAGTAAGTCAAGCCTGCTTAGGAACGTACTACAAGCATGGCTGTAGCCAACTATGCGGTCACCGCGGTCTGAACCTCTTTATTTTTCAGAGGTGTGTGTAATAAAGGTTGTGAAATTATTGCCTAGTTGTAACTCGACTTTAGTGCTGCAAGGATATACAGTAGACCCCTTTTGCGCCGACGTCACAGTTACGTCACGGCGCTAGCTGGAGGCAAAACAAAGTGAAAACTGGAGGCGGCCAATGCAAAACCAAGGGGGTAATCCATCGACCAGAAGTTGAAGCCTCGCAGGAGCTGACATCTTGTAGCAGAACTTCACTTGCGTTAGCATTCCCATTGACTCCCATTCATTTTGGGGTCACTTTGACAGCAAATAACTTTACATCTGAGGCTTTTGAAGACCCCATTTTTCCTTTATTTATTTCTAAAGAAAAATGACAATGTATAAAATGCTCCATTACCTTGTAGCTTATGTTATGGCCCCGTAGAAGCAGTTTTAGTGAAAGTAGGCTAACGATTGCGTCATACCCACGCGACTCTCTGTCACACAGTACAGAGATTACCATATGGACAGGAGGAGAAGCTTGCGGGCAGTCGGGGAAACGTGGAGGCAAAATGAAAAAATAATTAATCAGAATACCTAGCAAAATTTTCTCCTTCCTTTTCTCCTTCATGGACAGCTCCTACTTACACTCTCCGCCTCTGCATGTTTTGGACAACCCGGTCTCATCCCAAGACGTCATATAACTGACGTTTTGGGACGTCTTTTGACCATACGTCAATATTCGCCTTTTTAGGGCCCCCTTAAACGTCGGTAGATGAGGTTATGGGATCCTAACTCTACCCCATACCTAAACCTAACCCTAACCCTAAACCTAACCCGTCACCTAACTGACGTTAAAGGTAAAGCGTCAGTTGTATGACGGCCCGGGATCGCCATCTACCGACGTTTAAGGGGGCCCTAAAAAGGCGGATATTGACGTATGGTCAAAAAACGTCCCAAGACGTCAGTTATATGACTTTTTGGGATGAGACTGTGTTATTTTGGAAGGGAATGATTCAGATTTCTCATGCCACAGCACTAGAAGACAGACGGGTCACTCATGTCACATCTACGTAATCAAGCTCTGTTTGAGTCTGCGCGTCAGGGACGGAAGTGCTAAAGAAATCGCCAAAAACGGCCTTCAATCATCTCAATGGAGTTCCAATGAGATCGCTATGTCCATTTTTTTTACTGTCTATGGTCCCAATTCAGTTATGCATCCTCCGAAGGCCATATTTGAAGGCCGGTTGCGTCATTGCAGTGCGACGAAGGCTTCCCTGAATCAAAAGTGACGCCAAATGCACCCTTCGTTTCCCCGTGAAAGGAAGGATACATAAATGGACACTCTGCGGACTATCCTACCCGATCCTACTCCATAAATCATTGCGCGGGTGACGACAGCATTTTTATTTTAAAAAAAGGTCGGCCGAGAGTTCGGTGGTGGACGGCAAATTCACATTTAAATGTAAAAGTATTATGTTTTCATTTACTCAAATAGCCAGAGAAACCAGAATGAAAGCCATAAGTTTTTTGTTGTTTTTTTGTTGTTTTTTTTCTTTCTTATTCATCTCAACTCATTCGTCAGCATTGCGTGCTTTTGTCAAGTGGAAACGAAATATAATAATCTTCGGAAATATTACTGTTTCTCTATTCACGCTCCACTTCATCTGCTAAATGATTTAATGCTCGTATTAGCTCTGCCACAGCATTTTTTTCAACAGCTCAAAACACGTAACATAGCCATAACATGTTATGTACCTGTTGTTGCCGAGCTCCGCCTCGATGCAGTGATTGACAGGCCAGGAGGCGGCGTGATCAGCTCAGAATGCATTTTCAAAGTGCACATTGAATTTTTCTACACTGTAAAAATGAATATGCTTCATCTAATCAAAAAAATTGTGGCAACAGATTGCAATATTATTTATTACATTGAACAAATTAGAATTGAGTAATAGTTAATCAAATTAACAGTCTAATTAATTATAATTTGTGCAATTTAATTAATAATATTGCTTGTAATATGTTGCCACAATTTAATTGATTAGATAAAGCATATAATTTTTTTTTTTTCAGTGTACATCCATTGCGGGGCATTTCGTGAAAATGCAATCGCAAGTGTCTTGACTGTGAGCATAAATGCAATTAAGAAAAATAACATTTGAATGATAATTTTGCCACAGTTTTTGCTTGAACATGTTACACATATCTAATCATTTCTGTAATGCATTTTCATTTTCATTTTGCCACTTATAAAGCGTTTCAATATGCATATTAAAACTAGTGTATGAAATGGCAAGTGAAATTTCATTTTCATTTTCATTTTGCACCAAATGTTGCTAGAATGGTAATGTAAAATGTAAATTTAAATACAAAATGCAATGCCATTTTACATATTGCATTGTCATTTTGCATATTAGGCTACATTGCAAATTGAATAATGCTACACATAAGCTTCCATACATTATTGCCTACATTGTATTGTATTTCTTTGTACATTGTATTTCTTTATTATTCATTATTTCCTTATTTTATGCAACTTTAAAACACAAAAGAGAATTCATGGCTCTGGATATTTGTTTATTTTTGTAAGGGTCTCTGAGTGTTTGCAAGGTTAGTACATTTAAACTATATACTTTTGTGTAGTTTAATGTAAAATGTGTAGTGTTGCTGTCCTGTGCAAGTATAGGCTACTTTACATGTGTACATAAATACTAACGCAGTATGAAGTTCCTCACATTCTCCCACTGTTTTTTTTTTTTTTTTTTTAATTAATTAACAAAATGTTGGTCCATTGTCACAATATTAACAAATTGTTGCCAACGACAACTGCGTCCCATATCAAAGTGCGCACCTGAAGCGCTCTGACCGGTCTAGCCTGCGGAGGATTGTTGTTCTTGTCGCCTAGCAACTGTGACTGACAGCTGCTGCTGACGACGAGCGGGAGTAACGACGTTTGAGCTGGAGTAACGACGCACACCCTACCCCAGCCCTCACGGGTGCCATGTGCGTAGTATACCGCCGTTTTTGCATATAGCGTTCTATATGACGTTAAAGGATGAGAATGCGTTGACTTTTTGATATATCCACCTGGTTTAAAATATTCAAATAGGATTGACAGCCTGTATAAATATATTCCCCATGGTCCATTTCTGTAGACAATAAAAAGAATGCCCTACAAAATCGCCAACAAAATCGCATCAAGGTACGATTAACATTTGAATATAGGCTATATATGTGCCTATGTTTTATCATCATTATTATTTTTTAGGCTATTTCATTACATTATTTAAGTAGGTTAACACCCAATATTTGAAAAGTTTAGAGTGTAATTGGCTATTCAGGACACAGCCTCTACGCATTAAACCAGCTCTGGCCAACTCTTAAATGGAAAATATATGACTCGAAATATTTTTTTAGTGGTTATGTGAATTGAAATTATGTTTTATATATATATAATATATATATATATATATATATATATATATATATATATATATATATATATATATATATATATATATATATATATAATAACAGGTTTATAAATAATACAATGCTTCATTAAATGATAAATTGAAGAATAAAGCATTTATTGCTGCATTTATAAACTGCTTATTAATGTAATGCTTTAGAAATTAACTGTTTACTAGCCTAATGCTTAACTAATGATTAATAGCGTGCAATTATAAAGTGACCCAAATCAGTGCTTCTCCCGGGAGATAGGGCTAAACTAATTGAGTAATCCCCTCTTTTAGCACCATCTATTTTTTAGAAGAGGAAGTTACTCAACTGCATTTGTGAGAAAATCTACCTGGACACATCTGTGAGAAAATCGAGCCGAGAGATCTCACAATCGTACAGACAGATATGCATTTGTATGCACTGGAATTGGTATTTGTTCAAAGGTTACATGCCATTTGTAGGATGGTTTGTATTTATTTGTGAAATAGCCATTTTCTAGGCTCATTTATTTATATTTGTAAAACACAATATTGGTAATTCCACTGCATTTTCGCTCAAATTGACCTTTGTTTTTGCAAATTGCTTTCTATTTGTTTGAAATAGTTTGTTTGCTAGTCGAGTTTTCCTTTGCAAAGCAGATCGAGTTTCTTTGCAAAATACTGGATTTGTTGGTTTAATTATGGCACATAATTCGCTCCATACACTTCCTGTAGATTAGATTCTTACAGAGCAGAGTATACATGATATCAATAAACCAGTGTTACTTCTTTAAAAAAACAACAACAACAAAAAAAAACAAGAGTATTCCTAAACCATCCATAAAACAAATACATTTAAAAAGCTTTCTCTCTCTTGTCATGATTTAAAAGCCTAAACCAATCTAAAACAACCAAGGAGTAAGAGATTTTAACACATCCAAATACATCAAATTATAAATGATGATGTCAAATGTTTATTTGATAAATCAGACAGGAATAGTAATATGTATTTCTGTGGATTGTTTTAAAAAAAAAACTAACCTGAAATAAGATCAAATAATGCACCATAATACTTTGAAAGAAAATTTACCTTTTATGTCTGTGGGGCAGGACACTGCTGTCAATTCTGCTGTGCAATGTCTGAGTAAGAACTCTGACTGAGATGTGATTCAACTGTGGGTGTGTCTTGATGTGTTGGCTTTACATAACGTTTTTTTGTAAACAGGTTCCACCGGTTCCACAAAACTTGGTTTCGTTAAACAAACATAATTTGTTCATGTAACTTCAACATCATGAAAGTCATTTTAAGCCATCCAATCAAACTCTGAGCTGAGTGTTAAATGAACACTGAAGCAGTGTTAACCCCTTAACGCCCACACGCCCACAAACGTACTAAAATTTACTAACTCTGTTGTAAAGCTCCTTTTTTGAAAACATGTTGTCTATTAAGATAGACATACAGTAAAATAGCTTCTTACATAAAATAAAATTGCTGCATCATTTTTTTGTTTTGTTTTTTAACAGCAGTAAATACTGTAATACAGAGTAGTGTAAGGTCCACCCATTGGCCCAAAGACGGAATCCAATGGCTGGGCGAAGGGATAATGCATGTATGTCTTTTCAGCGCTCCAGTAAAGTTCACTTAATTTATTAGAATTTAGTTTCAATATTGCTTTAGCTCTACGTTTAATCTGACTCCAATTTTTACTGATGATCAAGTTTAGATTGTGTTTCTTATTAGAAAATAACCATAACTATTGATTATAATTTAATTTAGATCTTTGATTTGTCTGTGTTTCTTACACTTTCAATTATTCGTTCATTATGGACCCGATGCCGCACAGAGATCACGTCGGCCGGATCGTGTTTCTCACGGACACAAACCTTGTCAGTTCTGTATTTAGTCAGAGGGTGCAGGGTTAACTAATACTTCTTAAGTCGGTTGCCTACTGCTCACACGTACAAAGAATGTAGTTTATTTTAGCCACTTCCATACAACTTGCTAAATCAGTGATAGACAGAAATCAAAAGGTCTTCAGAGGACGTGCCTACTGCTCCATTCACATCTGCGCCTTTAGTTTGACCTATCCTGCAAGATTTGCGGTAGCACCAGCCTCCTATAATTTACTAAAATAATGACGTCAGAATACTCCAGAGTAAATCAAGATGTAACATTTATTTGTCAGGAAAAAATGTATCATGCCAATTACCCAAGCAATTAACAGCCAATTCAGAAATAGTAAATACATGACATCAATTACTCAAAGATGATTCTAAAAGTAAGCAATGCATTCCTGACAGAGACACACAGGAGTGTGTGAGTGCTTTCCACTGGGAAAACACTGACACAGCACTGTATGGGGGTTTTCCTGGTTACAGGTTCCCGAAGACTGCTCTGTTACCTAGCCTTAAATACCCAGACCAGAACAAAAGGGTTGTACCAATAGCTTTCAGAGTTTGTTTTGGGTCAATTCCTATACCCCAAGGGGTAACACCTGGTCTCTGGAGGGGAGATATCTTTAAAAGACATCACCCTTGGAGGAGAACTGGATTCTCCTAAGTTCTCAATCTTTCTCCTATTTCTAATAACTGTAATGAAATTAAGACCATTTTACCAATCGCACTGAGACACTTAAAATGATACCAAACATGAAAAGGGAAAACCTTGGATTCACAAACAAAGAGCAATAAACACCTATCACCCAAATCTTTATTGGGACATCTCCCACAACAGAAGAACAGGCGTTGTTTTCTGGTTCTGCCTGTTCTGCTGCTGCAGTAATGAAACAATTTTACTATTCACGCCAGAAGTATTTATTTTGCCCTTGCATAACACAGCTGGAGGCAGGAGGTTTGTGAGATTTGAATGCCTGAATGAGCCCTGGAGGAGAGAAGATATTGTGCAGAGTCAAGAACCACAACATGGGGGGAAGATATCGGGTTGGGCCAGTTGTGTGGTGCCCTCTGTCCCTTTGATCTCTTTTACAGATTAGTGAGTTATTGTTTTACTGCAGTTTCGAATTCCTAAATTCAGTCTTAGGAAAGTCCTTCCTTACATATCTCTTGGAGCATGCGATTTCTCGTGCCACGATAGTCTTTATTTACTTTTTTTTTTTTTGCAAATGTCCTTTTTAGGGGCTCCATAGACATTGTATTTCTGTGAATGGCATTTTACACATTTGTGATTGCTTGAAATTCAGCATAGGCTTACTGGTTTGTGACTATTGTCTGTGAGTGCAAATTTCAACATTCAACTTCAGATTTTTATTTTACAGGTTTTCACTTTGGAGCTGTGAGTATAAATGTTCACATCCAAGTATGAATATTTATTGTACAGTTTATCAAATTCACATCTTCATGCTCTCAACAATGCTGTTGTATTTCTTTGGATTGGTAAACTATTTATAGACATTTTTAAGCATCATAATAATTTGAAGGAAAGTTAGCTTATATCTTTACATATAAAGTCTGTTTGGAACCGGAGACTGTCGTTGATGCAGCCGTCAAGTTGAGCAGACTAGATATAGATTATGCATTTCCTGAACCTGCCACACTTTTACTTTCATTTCTACATAAGTGTGCCGAGAAAATAAGTTTCTATTTCTGAAAAAAAAAAAAAAAAAGCAGAAAGGAAATATCACATTGTTGTCGGTTTATATGTTTCCAGAGTTCCTTGCGATGATATTCTGCAATTGTTGATGAAGCAATGAACATTTGAGCATGAATTATTATATAAGATTTTGGATTACAGGACACAAATAAAATGATCTTTTTTTTTTAAATGATAATTGTATGTTGTATTTTTGTGTATTTTATGGGCATTGTCCCACAGCAAACAAAATAAATATTACATGATGTAGGGAACAGCCGAGCACAACATAACACTTTTTGACTTTCTCAGTTTGTGAAAATACAAAAGTCTAATAAATGTGGTTTTGATTTATTATTACATTGTTTATTTTTTTTCTTTATTTTCTCACAAAAAATGGAAGAGAAATATGACAACTTGCCTCAGAGGCAAGAGGCAGGGGCACATTTTAACCCATGAGGGGCTTTTTGTAACATGACATATGACAGCTTAAAGGGTTAGTTCACCCAAAAATGAAAATTAAGTCATTTATTACTCACCCCCATGCTGTACCAACCCCGTAAGACCTTCGTTCGTGATTTGCGATCTGCTTACACCAACTTAAACTACTTCAGATCGCAATTCTCGCGCATGCGTCGTGGAAATCTAAGGAAGTCTCGTTCTGGCCTACAAGGAAGAAAAGAAATAGTCGAATAAACTCGTTATTTTTGTTTGTTTTTTCGCACAAAAAGTATTCGCGTCGCTTGATAAACATATAGTTGAGCCATGAGGGGCTTTTTGTAACATGACATATGACAGCTTAAAGGGTTAGTTCACCCAAAAATGAAAATTAAGTCATTTATTACTCACCCCCATGCTGTACCAACCCCGTTTTTTTGTTTGTTTTTTCGCACAAAAAGTATTCGCGTCGCTTGATAAACATATAGTTGAGCCACGGTAGTCACTTGGGATATTTAAACATTTTCTTCATTGACTTTCTGGGCCGTCAAGAGGCAGTCCTTTAGGAGCCAATGTGGTAGTTATACAGCTCTCAAATTTAATCAAAAATATCTTCATTTGTGTTCCGAAGACGAACGAAGGTCTTACGGGGTTGGTACAGCATGGGGGTGAGTAATAAATGACTTAATTTTCATTTTTGGGTGAACTAACCCTTTAAAACTTTATCTGATCTAATGAAAAATATATATATACAAGACAAAGTCAAATATTTTGGGAACAAATTAATTAACTTTTTAAAATAAAATAATGAAGTTCCCTTTCGAGGGTAATTCATATGCCACCTACGTCACTACCAAACGCCACCATATTTACGAGTCGTGAGAGTATGGTGTTGTCTGTCACTTGTTAGACAGGTTATTATGTGTATCTTACACCCACAATTGCCACGTTCTGTTTTACCACGTGTTAAGATTGTTACAGAACCCAGCCTGGTCTAATTGTAATTATAGGTGTAACATCTGCAGTGTTGTTGAGGAGCTCAAACATAACCAACTCATTCAAACACAGGGGAGCTAACGATAACAAGGGGAGGGGCATGTTTTCGAGGAAACAAACAAGTATAACCATGGTAACAGACAAGGTAGCGAGCACAAACAGAAGGTGAAAAAGTCTTCAACATAAAAGTCCCAAACTCAGACACCACAGTACTGAGTTCGTTACAACAGGTATAGTAATTAACATTTACATGGACAAAACATTTTTCTAATTTTTGAATAGATGCTGTTGAAATGTAGTGGACATATTAATCTAAAATGTAAACATTAAATGTGTTTGCAGCAATAGAAACAGATTATATTTACAAATCTTTTTTTGTGATTTGACCATTTTACTGACACTTGACCTTAATTCCTGGACATAACCTCTTTTATAATGAATAAATCAAATGTAAAGGGCAGAACCTGATTTCACCAATTGGGGGAGAGTGATACACAAAGTAATGCTTTTTGACTTTCTCAGTTTGTGTAAATCTACTTGGGGTTTAGAGTATTTATTTTTTTCCCACATGTCTAGTACAATTATGTGGTTTTGTTTTATTAATACATTGTATAATTTTTTCTTGATTTACCCTGAAAGAATGCAATTTGACAACATGCCCCATGGTGGGGGGTACATTGTAACATCACCATATGACAGCTTAAAATGCTATCTGATCTGATCAAGTCAAACCAAAATATATTCTTAATAAAATACAATTATTCACTTTTTCATATAAAATAATGCCATTTTTTAATCATTAAAAATAAACGATTTTTTGAGTTTGACGACAAATACACCGGAAAACACAGATATACAGCATAGTTAAAAAAATAATAATAATTAATCATTTCCGAACATCGACTCTCAGTCTTTATTTACATGTTTCTCATGTTTGCTCAATAAATGTCCCGTTGAATAACATGGGGAGGCGTGGTTTATGATCTATACTAGGAGCAGTCACCAGGGGGCGATCGAGACGTTTTGGCTTCACTTTTCAAGGCAGGAGGAGAAGCTTGTCATAAAGTCAAGGGAGAAGCCCATAGAGAGTCATAAAGTTGCACCTACATTATCAGTCAAGTTTTATAGATATTTTGGGAGGTTTTAAAACAAT